CTCTCCTCTCCTTTCCTGTTCCCCTCCCCACCCTCTTCCCTCCTCTCTCCTCCTCACCGAGCTTGACGACGAGCTTCTCTCAACTTCAAGCCCCTCCAGCTGCAAGTCAACTGTCGCTTTCCCCACCGTCCGACTTGCACTCTTCTCCTCCCCCTGCGCTGCTCCAGCTAGAGTCGACCTCCTCCCTCGCGGGGGCCTCCCATCGCTCCTCTCCTCGCCCACAACGCGATCACTGCGGTTCAAGTTAGCATGACAGTGGACGAGGAGAAACAAGTCTCTTCCGATTCCCATCCTCCTCCTCTTCCCTCGCTTTCCTTACACTCCTGCACGCATCCGCTCTCCTTCCACCTTCCACTCAATTGCTTCTCGGTTGACAGCTCCTTTCTGTACCTCTTCTATCCCTCCCTCCCTCCTTCTCTCCCTCCTCCCTCCCTCCCTCCCTCCCTCATTCCCTACCTCGTTGATCGCATCGTCTTGAGGAGGGAGGAAGGGGTCACAGCAAACGTGCTATTCATCGCCTTCTCCTGCGCCAGCACCTTCTCCACCACCCGCACATCAGCATCCGCACACCGTCGGAGCAGCCGATCGAACTCTCCCGTCGCCTTGCTCAGCATGTGGATCTCCAGCATCGCTCGCTTCCCAGCCTGCCGCGGCTCTGCGCTACCCTCGCTGAGAAACTGCACGACAACGGGGAACAGACGCTCAAGGTCCTTGGAGTTGAGCAGCTTCGGCCCCATGCTCTCCACCAGAGCACAGAGGTAGGAGGCGACCTTGGCTCGGATCAGAGGGTTCTTGCTGCTGTTCGCATGCAGCAGCGCTCCTAACGTCCGGCCCTCCGAGCAGTTCTCGATCATGGCAAGCATCGCCTTTCTCGCCTCGTCCGCGATGAACCCAGCCGTCTCTCCGCTCTTCTTCACAAGCACCAGCACCACGTTGTCCAGCTCCGCGTCCATCTGTGTCTTGAGGAACCGAAGCATGTCCGTCAGTGCCATGAGCGCCGACTTGCTCAAGTTCGACCGCAAACTGTCGGCAACCAGGAGGATCGCTCGGACAACAACGTGCAGCTGGGGGAGGATAGTCGAGCTGGCATGGTAGATGGATAGCGCGCGGGTCAGGTTCAAGGCCTCCATCTGTACAGCCCAGTCGCTGGATCCTAACTTTGCCAGCAGCGTTCGCATGACCCCGTCAGGGTTGTCGAGAGGAGCTAGCTCCTCCGTGGGGATCAGCTCGAGAGGACGAGCGTTGATCTCCATCACGCTCTTCCCTCCTCCTCCTCCTCCTTCCACCGACGGCAGCACCACACCGTTCCCTCCGGACCTCTTGCTGCCGATCAAGTCGATGGCCGGGGAGAGGGTCGAAGCAGGAGCAGACTGCGACGGCCGGTAGGAGCTGCCGCTACCTCCCTGCTCCTCCTCCAGCGGCGTCCCCATCTGGCTGATCTCCGAAGACATGCTAGAGCTCACCGACGCCAGCCCGGGCGTGGTGGCTCCCAGCCCTGACGAGCCTTCACCGTAAGGGAACGGAGCACTCCCTGCCCTCCTCGACCCTCCCGACCTTCCCCTCCTCGTCTTGAGGATGCTCAGCCGGTTTGCGATCTGGTCGGTGGAGAGCGAGAGGTCCCTGGGCGTGCTTTCTTCCTTCCTCCTGCTCCCTTCCTCCCCCGACGCCATCGCCCCCGCCTGCAGGATGCGCTGGTTGGTGTTGGGGGAGTGGCAGCCGCGGACACTATGGGGAGACATCGGGGGGCTGCAGATCATCGGGGTGCTGTGAGGGAGGACGGGGATGGACTCGAACTTGGTGTTCTCCAGGTTGCCCCATCCTCCTCCCAACGTCGCCATGGAGCTCGTCTCGTGAATGTGCCCCCAGGCGTCTGCTCCTGCTCCTGCTCCTCCTGCTCCAGGTCCAGCTCCAGGCCCTGCCCCAGCTCCAACTCCTGCGTGCATCGCTCGTCTCCCTGCCGAGGGAGGGCGCATCCTTCCCCCTCGGATGAACGAGTCCTGCGACGCCTCCTCCTTCATCGCCGTGCTCGCCGTCGACTGCGCGCTGTCTCGCATCCCCTCCATCCAGAACGGCTTGATGGGACGAGAAGACTCCTTGTCTCGTCGTCCCTGCCCTGAGCTCGAGACGGAGGAGGACGGCTGTGCTGGACGTCTGAAGGCATCGGAGGAGGAGGAGGAGGAGGAAGGAGGGGCGTCGGGCAGCGAGGACCCCCCGGTCTCGCTCTCAGCCACTTCCACATGAGCAGACTCATGATGAAGCCTGCGGCCTGCTTCCCCCATCCCACTCGCCTGAAGCACACGGCGGGGCGACCGGACGCCTCCAGAGGGGAGGAGGAAGGAAGCGTCAGTCTGCACCTCGTCCTCCAACGGCCCGACCTCGCGGTAGAGCGGCTGGTCGTCGAGAGGAGGAAAGCCGATGACGCTGTCGTGCTGGAAGGAGGAGCGGGGAAGAGGCTTCACGGGGTTGTCGGGGGACGTAGGGTACGAGTGCGGCATCTGCGACTGGTTGGGTCGATGCCTGCGCAACGGGGAGCGAGGAGCCTCGCCCAGGCTGTCGGGGGAGATGTCGGTGTTCCTTTCCGCCCTCTCCTCCTGCCCCGCGTGGCTGCCCTCCTCCACATAGCGGCCCAGATGCGACAGCTCCAGCCATCCTTCCAAGTTCAACGACGGCAGCTGCGCAAGCGCCAGCCTCGCCTCCACCGCCCTCAGCGTCTGCTCCTGCATGGGCGGGAGGGAGGCGCGGAATTTGTCAGCCCCTTGCAAGGAGTGAAGCAGCGCCAGGGCCTCTAGTGCGATCGCTCGAACCTTCTGCTTCGAGTCCTCGAGCACCGAGCAAACCGAGCGCACCAGGAAGGCAAAGTCAAACTTGGGCTTTCCCCCTACTCCTCCTCCTCCTGCCTGCCCGGCAGATCCTTGGAAGGTGAGAAGGGAGAGGACAACGACGTGCAGGATCTCCTCCCTCACCCGCCAGCTCTCGTGCTTGACTTCCCGCATGAGCCCCTCAAGAATCTCCTTGGGCCCCAGGGTTTGCATCAGCTTCAGCAGAACCTTGATGTTGGCCTGCCGCACCATCGTCTTGTTGTCCGCAAGCTTGCCGATGAAGTTGGGCATCAGCTGGTGCTGGAACGGGTGGACGTCCCGCTCAACCAGATTGATGACGTCACCAAGGATCTGCAGGGCCGTGATCTCGATCTTGAAGTTGGCGTCCCGCGTCAGCGTGATCAGCAGGTCGATAAGGTCCGGCAGGTACGGCCTTAGTTCCTCCGGCCTCTGGAACCCTCGGACAATCTGCTGCAGCTCCTCCACCGCCAGCGCCCGCACTCGCCAGTTCCCAGCGTCCTGAAGCTCTGCCAGCAACCGAGGAGGGACGAAGGCGAGCTGCTTTCCAGCTAGGTCAGCAGAATGATCCGAACCGTGGCTATTGGGGGCGACGGGACCTCCCGTCCTCTCCGACGTCTCTCCTCGACTGTGGAGCTCGGTGCTGGTGACCTCGGGGAGCGGGAGCTGTGACGGCCGGAAGATCGTTCCATGCAGCATCTGCTGCGTTGCCGGCGCCAGGCCGTCCACGCACGCCTGCAAAGACAGAGAGGACGTGAGGAAGTGAGGGAAAGAACAGCGGGATAGCAATGTAGCAAGACAGCATCATGTCAAGATAGCAACAAGACAACACAACATAGCAGGAGAACACCGCGGTGTAAGAGCAAAGCATCGTCAGGACAGTGATGTGCTAAGACGGCAACGGATTAAGATAGCAACACAACAACAAAGCAACACAACACGATAGCATCATAAAACCAGCTCCATGACAACACAGCAGCATCCGGCAGCTAGTCAAGACTTACCTGTAACGAGTCTGGAGCTCGAGCTCGAACGGCATCGACGGCCGTCGCTGCTGCCTCGGCCACACGGTTGGACGAGTCGCCCAATGCTGAAACCAGCGCGGGAACAACCACCTGACATGTCCAACCATGAGCTACACTGCGACAAGAGCAAGTGAAGGAGCAAGAGAAGGAGATGCAAGAGCAGGGGCAGGGGCAGGAGCAGGAGCAGGAGCAGGAGCAGGAGCAGGAGCAGGAGCAGGAGCGGATGCTGGAGCGGATGCTGGAGCGGGAGCGGAAGCAGGAGCATGAGCATCAGGAGCATCAACAAGTCTTGACCTCCTGCAGCACTGACGACTCGTGCGCATTGTTGCGATACTTGGAGCAGCTGTAGACCGTCACGAGGGCCGCACAGCACTCGGCTCGTTGGAGTTCATTTCCTCCCTCCCTCACTCCATCGGCGATCGACTTGAGCAGGTCGCGCGCGTCGTACTCCCGCACCTGCGCACCATCCTCAGCGACGGAACATGCGCGGAGCTGCACAGCTCACCTTGCCGAGCGAGCACAGCAGGTTCACGATGGTCTGCCGCACTGCCGACGAGCTCGTAGCCATGGCGGCGATGCAGGAAGGGAGGAACTGGTCGGCGTTGAGGGCGACGGGGGTACCGAAGTGCTGGACTAGCTCGTGGAGGAACTGGACGCACTTGATAGCAGTCTTGGGGTTCGAGTCTTCAATGCACTTGGCGGTCGACTTGAACAACCTGATCCTCGTTGCCCCGTCCGGTAGCGTTCCAGCCGTCATGACCTGGACCCGCACGTTGTCGAGACCCTCGTTCCTGCTGTCCGGGTTCTCCAGCGACGTGAGCTCTCGCTCGAGCTTCAGCCACTTGGTGGCTGACTGAGATCCTCCTAGACTTCTCGCGCTCATGGTGGAACTTCCTTCAACTCCATCTCTTCCTCGCGCCCCCCATGTCTTCCCATTCCCTGCAACGCCTGGGGCGTGTAGTGTGTGTTTGCTGTATCAACTTCTATGGCAGACTGTTGAACACAACCTGGCGATCTACAACCTCAAGAATCTCCTCATCCTCCTCTCCTACAACCCCCTCCCCTCCCTCAACCCTGCTGAAACAGCAGAGGCAAGCGTGATTAGGGTGGATATGCCCATCGACTCATCAACTCTCCTCTCCTTAGCACAGCAGGTCCTTGACATCACCGCCTCCTCTCTCCCTCTTCCTCTCCTGCGCATGTTCTCCCTCCTCCCTCTCTACCCGCTGCTCCTTCCTCCCTCTCCTTCCGCCTCCCCGCGGCTCGCTGCTTCGCCATGCCGCCATCGCCCCGGGTCAGATGCCCTCCAAATAGTACTGTGGATAAATTAAGTAAAGTCAAATGTACCAAAACTGAATCTGATCAAACTTGAGTGAAATTACAGGCGCCTGAGGATATCTCTGAGGCGGGGTTCAAAGCAGGGGTACTAGGACCTGCTCGTAGGATGCTATGAGCCCTAGGAGCAATGGGGTAGTAAGTCATACTCGTCCTAGGACCACCATTGTCCTGCGCCTCTTCGCTGGCCATGGTGGACTGGAGGAGAGTGGCGGCGGCGGCGGCGGCGACGGTGCTGATCAGCATGGCGGCAGTTGGGACGCTGGTAAGTCAGGGAGATGGAGGACGGTGAGGGAGATGAGGATGGTGAGAGAAGGCGAGAATGAAAGGGAGGAATTCGTTGCCATGTCATGCAGAAGTGGCAGAGGAGGGGGAGAAAGATGAAGAGGATCAGTTTGAATGTTCTTGGTGGTGGCCGGATAGCAGCAGCAGGAGGAAGAGGAGGAGGAGGTGCGGTAGTGCATGAAGCTTGTGAAGAATGCAGAAGGACGAGATGAGCATGAGATGAAGGCGATGATGGAGATGATGAGAGATGAAGGAGGAAAGACATGGAATAGTGTGATGATTGACATCCGATGCCTCAGATGGCAACGAAGCCGACGGTGCTAGAGCAATTCGTCTATCAGACCCAGGTTTGTCATGCCTGCAAGGGGGGGGGGAGGTGGGGGGGGATCTGGGTACAGAGCGGAGCTGACTAGAGAGGAAGGGAGTGTGAGAGGGGGGGGGAGGGCGAGGGAGATAATGAGAGGGAGGGGACGGAATGGGGGGAGGAGAGTAAATTCAAGCAGAAGGGGAGAGGGAGGGGAAGTGATAGGTCAATCCAGGTGGATCCTAGCAATCAGGTCTTCTCCTACTCGACTTCTGTCGCACCTGAGAAGGGGGTGAGGCAGCTGTGCGCTGATTTATGATCATCTCTCCTGCCCTACCCTACTCCCTACTCCCTCCTCTCTCCTCTCTCCCGTCCTGCCCTATCCTCCTCTCTCCTATCCAACTCTCTCCTCCCTTCCTCTCTCCTCCTCTCTGTCCCCACGGTTTACTTTCCCTTCCCTCTTGTCCTGCCATGTCTTCTCCTTCCACCCTCTTCTCTTCCCGTCTCCTCACCTCCTCCTCTCATCCCAGAACTTCGTCTACTCCACCACCATGGAGCCTTCGCAGCAAGTACATACATACAGCACTCAGGTGTCTCGCCACCTCCTTTCCTCCTCATCATCATCATCCTGTTTCCTTCATCCCCCTTCCCTTTGTCCTCCATCCTCATCCCAATCCCAATCCCAATCCCAAACCTCATCATCATCCTCCTCCTCCTCCTCCTGACGCTATGGTAGATGACCTCACAGCCCTCCACATTCACCTACTCTACCACGTACCAGGTATGCTCCTTCCCACTGCTTGCTCTGCCTCCTCCTTGCCGATCAGCTCCTCATGACTTCGACGGATCCCCTGATGCATGCTCTTGCTGCGAGACCAACTGCTTGTGCAGGAGCAACCTTCCTCGTTCACCTACTCGACGATGGTTCAGGTGAGGAGGAGGAGGAGGAGGAGGAGGAGGAGGGAAGAAGAGTGAAGTCGTGGAGCAGCCGGAGCAGACTCAGTTCACCTACACTGGAACTCCCACGGGTCAAGGAGCCGGTTTCAATACCTACATCGCGCAACAGGTGACAAACATGCTTCCTTTTTCCCCCATCCTCATTTGCTGTATTCTCCCTTCCCTCTCCTTTACCTCCATCCTCCCTTCCCTTCCCACGGATCTCTCCTTCTCTCCGCCTACACATTGCAACTTTCAACTCCTCTCCTTATCTTCAACTTCCATCTGCCTCCGTTCCTCGTTAATCCTTCTCCTCCCCTTCCGCTCTTTCTCGCCTCAGTCCTCTCTCCATATTCTCACTTCCCTTCTCATTCAGGTTGATCCCAAGACGATTGTGAATGGCTACGTACAACCTCAAGCGTCCAATGAAGAATGGTACACCCGATTCCTTCCTCTCCTCTCTCCTTTCCTCTCATCCCATCCCCTCTCTCTTTTCTCCCGTGCCATCTCCTCTCCCTTCCCCTCTCCTTTCCTCTCCTCGCCGTTCTCCTCCTCGCTCCGTACGTGGGCGTTATCCTCGTAGGCATCCCCTCTCCTCTCTTTCACTCTCAGCTGCCTCTCCCCTTCCCCATCACTCAACCTTTTTCTCTCCTCCTCTCCCCGGGTCTCGTCCTCCTCTCGTTGACAGTTCTGGTGGTATAGGTACACTGTCCCCATCGGGTCCCTCCATCCCCTCGACGTTGCTGGAACTCCTGGCCTGTAAGAACTTTCAACGCCTCTCCTTATCGTCCTTCTTCCTCCCACTCACTCTCCCTTCTTGTCCCCACCTCGCCCTCACTCTCACCATCAGCATCAACCTCATCCTCCCTCTTCCTCTCCTCCTCCCTCTCTAGTCCTGTTTCCCTGCTCCTCCTCCACATTCGCTTCTCCTCCATCACTATCCTCCTGGTCAAACTCTCCTCCTTTCTGCTCTTGTTGCTCCCTTCCCTCGCTTCTACTTGCCTCGCTCATTCGCTGCCAGAGGTAACGTGGAGAGCGTCAACCCTGACGGAACCGCCCGCGCGATGGCCCCGCTGACCCTCTCAGGGGAGCGAGCAGACGGTGAGGAGCACGAGGAGGGGAAGAGGAGAGGAGGGGAACTGCCTTGCGGTACGGTAGGCAGAGAGGACAGGACAGGACAGGACAGGACAGGACAGGACAGGACAGGACAGGACAGGACAGGACAGGACAGGACAGGACAGGACAGGACAGGACAGGACAGGACAGGACAGGACAGGACAGGACAAGAGAGGACAGGACAGGACAGGACAGGACAGGACAGGACAGGACAGGACAGGAGAAGAAGAGAAGATAAGAGGAGAGGAGAGGAGAGGGGAGGAGGGAAGATCATCTCATCTTACCCGGGCAGGGACTGTGAGCACTGAGGATGCTCGAGGGAGACGGATGGGCCTGAAGGAGCAGAGGGGGCGGGAGGAGCAGCTCCTGCAAGTGCCGGACAAGGTGGAGGAGGGAGACGAGAAAGGAGGCGAAGCTGATGTGCCAAGTAGTCGAGGGAGATGGAGCGAATTTTCCGGACGCCGGTGGACCAGGTGGGGAAGAGGAGGGAGAGAGAGAGGACAGGACAGGACAAACAAGACAGGGCAGGAGTCAAGGGGAAGGGGGAAGGCGAGAGTGGGGACTAGCGTGAAACTGGGAAAGAGAAGGCAAAGGGGGTTGGAAGATTTAAAGGGCGGGGTGATCGAAGAACCGAGGAGGGAAGCGGGGAGGAGGGGGAGAACGATGGAGCAGTGGGGAGGGTGAGCTGACTGATGCCGTGCAGGTGGCGTCGTTGACGGCGAAGGAGAGAACAATGTGGGCGAAGCATGTGATTGCGGAGGTAAAGAAGAAAGGGAGAAAAGAAGCGGCGATTCTGACATGATGGACAGGCAAAGAGAGCTAAGTGGCTGAAGAATGTAAGTTTGATGATGATGATGATGATGATGATGATGATGATGATGATGACGATGATGACGATAAAGCATATCCGACGGTGGCTCATTCATTGATGCAGATTGCAACCTTGTCGATCGCGCAGGTCAAGAAACTTTCTCCTGCTGATCAGAAACTCTGGGCAAAAGCGACTTTGAAGGTAAATCTCAACTTCTCCTTCTCTTCTCACCCTTCGCTCTCGATGCTTCGTCTACCTTCCTACGTGAGCAGCAAGCGAACCTACAGTGAGTTTTTCCTCCTCTCCCCCCCAACCCCCCATCCTCATCCTCCTCCTCCTCCTCCACTCCCTCCTCCCTCCTCCTCCTCCTCCTCCTCCTCCTCCTGACATCTGTTGCTGTGCAGGTGGGCCAACTCTGCATCGCATCTCGTGCACAAGGAGCTCAGCTCTAAGAAGGGCCCAGCTGCTGCCCACCAAGGCCCTGGGGTGATGTCAGGGCAGAGGGTGAAGTCGCGAGAGGGGCAGAAGGGGGTGGTAACGTCTCGGCCCGATATGTTCGGAATGCCCGACCTGAGGTGAGGAACAGCTGGGGGCTGACGCTCTCGACCCTTCCTCCCCCTCACGCTGACGTCATGATTCAGCGGCCCCTGGTCCTCTAAGTCCAACAAACTCCCCAGCTCGCTCGCCGAGATCAACTCGTCGCTGCGAACGGACACGCCGTGCGGTGTGGAGTGCATGGTGAGATGAAAAGAGGATGAGGAGGGGGAGGAAGAGGGGGGGGGGGGGAGAAGCTGACGCAAATGGCAGAGGAGAGCAGAGGAAGCGGCGAGATCCATGCTCCCGACGTCGTGAGAACTTGAGATGAAAATAAACTAGAAACAACCTTGAGACCTCTACAGGAGCCTGGGGCAGGCACGCTGACCGCCATAGGCTTCACTCAGTGACTGCGACCCCCCCGGCAGTCACCGTCAGCCGGGACGGTGGGCGGGGCCGGGCCGGCCACAAGTACGGGACCGGCGGACTCGGACGGCACGCCCGGCGGCCCTCAGGAGCGCGAAAAATGGCCGCCCGGGGCCCGGAGTCCGTCAGCCTGGCAGGGCGGCAGACTCCGGAGTCCGGCCGGGGGGCGGCCATTTTTCTGTAACTCAACTTGCAATCCGAAAATGTCCTTGAGAAGTCGCGAGTGAACTTAATGGAGGCTGGTAACCGTTGGAGTGACACGTCAGCAGACCGAGCGGCGTCGCGTGTTTGTTGTCGTCGAAGGTGACGGACAGCAGTGAAGTTTGACAGGTGGAGATGACTGAGTCGGAAGCGATGAACTTGGGAACATACTTTGAGTCAGTAATCATGGGGCTGTCAGGCTGAAGTGAAATGTCGACGAGTTGATGAATGAACTTCAGTGAAGAGAAGAGAGAAAGAGAAGAGAGTAGAAGAGAAAAGAGTAGAAGAGAGTAGAAGAGAAGAGAGTAGAAGAGAAGAGAGTAGAAGAGAAGAGAGTAGAAGAGAAAAGAGTAGAAGAGAGTAGAAGAGAAGAGAGTAGAAGAGAAGAGAGTAGAAGAGAAGAGAGTAGAAGAGAAGAGAGTAGAGGAGAAGAGAGTAGAGGAGAAGAGAGTAGAGGAGAAGAGAGTAGAAGAGAAGAGAGTAGAGGAAAGACAAGTCAGAGTCACTGGAAGACTGATAAGAGAAGTGACCGCCTGGCGAATAGATGAATGAGGGAGGGAGGGAGTGCAAAAACAAGTCAAGTCAAGTCAAGTCAAGACAAGACAAGATAAGTCAAGACATCTTTTCTTTTTCCAAGTCTTCACTCATACGATTGACTTGAGAGATAAACACGTCATGCCTAACTTCATTTGATGTTTATTCACAAGTTCAGTTTGCCTCCTCCCTCACAATTCCTTGCATATCTACATCATGTACATGATGAATCCTTATGCTACATCTACGGTTTCAGGATCGGAGGACCGCAGATCCATCCGCTCTGACCCTCTTCCTCCTCTTCCTCCCCCTCCCCCTCCCCCTCCCCCTCCTCCTCCTCCGCTTCACTCTTCCTTCTCCCCACTTGTCTTCCTATAGGCAGCTGCCCAGCTGTCGATTCTCGTCCTTCCTGGAACGAGCTCCTAGCTAGCTGGGGTAGAGCTGGAGGAGCAGGTGAGGCAACGGCGAGCGGGCTCGAGAGGTCTGGAAGAGAAGCTCCGTCTACTTGCGGCTGCCAGCTGCGAAGCGATGGCGCAGGCCCAGCAGCTCTGCTGCTGCTGGGGGGAGCTAAGGCGATCCACGAGCCTTGGAGATGGTCGGGCTGCATTCCCGCAGGGTGTTGGAGAGGGAGAGAAGGAGGAACGAGAGGAGAAGAGACGAGAGGAGCAGAGACGAGAGGAGCAGAGACGAGAGGAGCAGAGACGAGAGGAGAAGAGATGAGAGGAGCAGAGACGAGAGGAGCAGAGACGAGGGAAGGAGGAGGAAGCGAGTGCGTCGTCCGTGGGACCTCTAGATGGATTGGCTTCTGCTCGTAGGCCATCTCCTCTCCTCCTCCCCCTCCTCCTACGATCCCAGCGTTACCGAAAGAGACAACACACAAACCAGCCTCACCCATACCTGCCCCTCCTGCTGCTCCTGACGCCGCCGCCGCCGCCGCCGCCGCCGCCGCCGCTCCTGCTGCTGGTTGCTCGGGGAGTAGCGGGTGGTGAAGAGGGGGGTTGAGGGAAGCAGAAAGGAAGGGGCGGGGAAGAGCCCCACCATCCTCCTGGCTCTGCCATGAGCGAGCGAGGCCGTAGGGAGCGGGAGGCAGGAGGGAGAAGGAGGAGACAGCCGAGGGGTCCTGCAGCTGCAAAGATGGTCTCTTGCTCTGCTCATGCCCAGCTTGTAACTCCGAGCTAGGTCGCATCCATGCCTGTTGCTCCTGCAGGGGCTGCGGCGGGAAGGGAAAGGCGCCCGGAAGAGAAGAAGGCCCGAGGTCTGGAGCCTGGCGGGGAGTATATAGCAAGTGAGGAGGACCCAGGTCAGCTTGTTGCTCCTGCAACTGCTGGTGGGCCGAGAATGGAGGAGGAGGAGGGTGCTGCTGCGAGAAAGGGCCGTAGTACTCCTGCTGCACAATGTGGGGTCCGACAGGATGAACGTACTGCGCATGCAGGAGGGCTGGAGGAGGAGGATACTGCTCCCCGTAGCCCCACATGCCCGGCTGCTGCTGGTAGCTCGGGGAGACCATGGCGTTCGGATCAGGAGAGAAGGAGGGGGCGCGGAGGAGCGCCTGCATGTAGCCAGAGCTGAAGGAGGGATGAAAACTTCTCAGCTCCTCCTTCAACCTCTTCTTCTCCCCCTTCCTCAGTCGCGGCTTGCTGTCCCGAACTCCCTTGGGCCTTCCACGCCCTTTGTGCGCCTGTACGCAAGTCAAAATGATTCCCTCCTCCTCCTCCTCTCCTCCCCCTCTCTTCCCCTTCCCTCTCCCACTCCCAGGCCTCCTCTTCCCTCTCCTCTACCTTTCCCCTCCTCTCCGCATCCCCTTGATCTGGCTTCCTCCTCCCTTCTAGTCCTGGTATATCCTTCGTCCTTCCCATCCCCGTCCAATCAAACTGTTTTCAGCTCACCGGCCGGCTTTCCCCCTGCTCCTCTTGCCCTGGTTTCTGCGAGTCCGACGCCTCATCGCTAACGGGCTGTACAAGTAGCACACAGTCAAGAGGCTTTGCAACAGAAACGAGTCAGCCTAGAAGGCAGGCAGGCAGGCGGGAGATAAGCAATAGAGGGCAGGAGTCGAGTTAGAATCTTCTTCCTTCACCTCTTGAGAGGACGACACTTCTGTCTGCTCGTCCAGCCAGTCTCCTTCCTCCCCGTGCTGCCGCACCTGCCATGCTTCCGTCACTCCAGGCATTGAAGAACGGTGGTTGCTCTCCCCGTTCCTCCCCCTAACAACTCCCCCACCTCCTCCTCGTCTTTCCCCACCTCCTCCCTTGCCTCTTCCGACTCCTCCGACCCATCCCGCTGCTTCTCTTCGCTGGAAGTATCTTCTTTCTCCACACTATCCTTGCCTTTCTCCATCATGGAAGAGTGCAATCCCGCCGAACTGCAAGCCTCCTCTTCCTCTATCGGAAGAAAAGTGCACATTGCCGCATGCCGACAGAAACGGAAGGGGGAGAGGATGTGGGGGAGGGAGGGAGGAAGGGAGGACACGAAGGGATGGAGGGAGGGAGGAAAGGGGTGAGGGAAGAAGGGGAGGGGGGAGAGGGAGGGAGAGAGGGGGGGAGTGGAGGGGGTAGGGAAACAGCAGCGAATATGGGGATGATCTTCTAGCTCAGCATATCTACACCGGCTGCCTTGCTGCCTCGCAGAAATCCGAGCATGCAGATGAAAGTCAAGAGCGGAAAGTTTGAAAGTCGCAGATCGATGATCGACCGAGGCTGTTGGTTCTGACCGACGAACATGTCCCCGTGTGGACAACAACCAGCCTGAAAAGTCAAGGCTCAGACTGACGACCAATCAACAAACGTTGGAAACACAAGCAGTCTTCGTATCTAACCACATGGCCTTGTCATCTTGCACATCTACAACAACTAAGCTAGACAAGCATCCAGCTACTCCTGCAAATTACATGCAACCCCGCTACGTTTGAGCATCAGCATGGAAAAACGGAGAAAAGAAGAAAACAATTGTTGTAAACCGATCATCATGAGAATTCTTACACAAAATTCTTCCTTTCTCTCCTCATCTATCCCATTCAATCGTTGCCTACGAGATCAACACGAGCCCAAGCGCAACAAAAGTATCAGAACAACTCGTGAAACAGTAAGAGGGATAAACGAAACAGTTTGTATGCTGAAACAACAAGACAGATGCGCCAGGCTGATGGCGACATGCCAACGGAGCACAGAGAGGCTCATGATGGCAAGTGCTGCACTTGTATGTCTGTCCAACACAAGGACGAGGCCACCATGCCACTCGCCTTCCACATCCAGGACCTGCACCCTTGAAAGGATCACAGATGTGCTCGTGCTCTCACGCTCTCTCAGTGCTGTATGTCCATCAGCGAAGTCAAGCGCAACGATGAGCGCAAACTTCATGTGAAACTGCCCTCGTGTCACATCGTCCTCACCCTCTCACTGCTAACCTGCTCAACCTGTCCAGTCATGAAGCAACTCTGAATGTGTTAGTGTTCTCTTGATTGTGCTTGACATTTCGACGGATCTCATGCTCTCATCACATCTAGGACCCACTCTTCCTCGTCACATGCTCTTCTTTCAGCTACAAACTCGTACGTCCATCCGTCCATTTATGGCCCTTCTACAGGTTCCGCGCCCCGTCTTCCGCTGCCCACAGACACCAGCATGTCACAGGCAGCTCTCTCGCCCTCCTCTCTGCATCAGTCTCTGCAACGTGCGCCGCCGCCGCCGCTCCCTCCCCCCGCTCTCCGCCTCTCCTCGCCCTTTCCTACCCATCCTCTTCGATCCTCCATTGCAGCCGGCTTCAAGACCTCACCTACGTTGCCCCCCACCCGACCCCACCCCCTCCCTCACCCCCACCCTTCCTTTCCACCCACCCCTCTCATTGATATAGTGAAAGTGCTCTTTCTTCCGATCCACCCCGTCCATCCCCCTGAAGTACCCCACCCTTACTATCCGTGACCGAGGGCTATAGCTACAATGGGTCGATTGTGAGGGTTCAGTGACACCACCCCACCCTTTTACACAGAAACCCTACCACCCTCACCCCCACCCCAGCGTAACCCCCCAAATAACTCAGTTTATCATAGTCGAATCACCCCACCCTCCTTTTAACTCAAGACTACCCCTCAGTTTTCTGATCCACCCCCCTCATCCTCGCATACCCCACCCCCACTTGGCAGCCTCACTTTACCGCCCGCCACTTACATCCGACTAGTGGTAACCACCCCACCCTTTAAAAATTCTTAAAAGAACCGGTGGTCTGTCATGAGGTGCACCTCGAAGTCATAATAGAGACCCAAGCTTTCCTGCCCCACCCCTACCCCCCAGAAGACCTGAGACTACCTACCCCTTTAGTCGAATCGAAAGACACACACCACAGTCATATCTTGAGTGACCCCCTACCCCCAGACTCACCCACCCCCTCGATCTCGAAGTCCCACCCACCTAAAACCTCCTCAACCCCTCCATGATAGTACCCTACCCAACTGAAAGTCCAAATTCCGACAAATTCGTTGGAGCGACCAGTCATTGCACATATATCCGTGTAGCCTTCATCAAAGTTGTACCCCCACCCTCACGCAGGTACCCCCACCCTGAGGCAGGTACCCCTGCAAGGCACGAGCCACATATCTCCCCTGCTCTTTGACTGCCCCCACGGTATCCCGCACCTCCTGATCACAACCCTGAGCACCCCTGGAGACCACCCTTGGAGACCACCCCTGTACCCCTTCCCTCGGAATCGGCATGGAGGGTGGCACCGAATTTTATATATGTCTCCGTCCCCCAGGATTCTAGGGGTGAGGGTCTGGAACTTGGGGGTGGGGTCCTAATCATGTGGTGTTCGAGGGTCTACAATGAACCTGGGACAGACCCACCCCCCTCCGACCTCTAGGTGGTCAGCAGTCGGTCGGAACTGATAAGGAGTCGGAAGATTCAATGAAGTTTACTACACGCTGTGGTAATCACTAAAGACAACGCTTCGCGCAAAGAAGCCCAGGTGTAAAGGATGGAGTGGGTGGGGTAAGTCAAGAGAGTATTTTGGGGTGGGTACTCTGATCTAAAAAGTAGGGGTACATGGTTTCATTGTCAAGGGTGGTAACGGATACCTCCGTAATGTTCTTTTAACGGAAGGTGAACAGGAGGGGGGTAGAGCAAAGAATGACAGTAGGGGTGCTTTAAAGGTTGAATTAAGGGGTAGTCCTGACCAAAGGCGAGACACCCCAGTGGGGTGTGAAAAGTTTTGAAGGGGTGGGTTGAAGAAAAAAAGAAATGATCACGGCCTTGTTTGCTCGCAGACATACGAAAGAAGAAAAAAGAATGCATGGAAAAGAAAGAAACATGGCGAGAGACGACGACGACGACGACGACGACGACGACAAGGAGGAGGAGGAGGAGGCAAAGTCAAAATGCGTCTAGATATTTCAGTTGATATCACATTGCGTGTAACTTAGAGAAAGATATATAACTGACAAGTTTCAACAAGAGCTTGTATGTTTGGTTAGGGAAAACAGGATCAGGTTGCTGACATGAGCATCAGTGGTTACGCGAAAGGTGTGCAATGATAGCAAGAGGGAAAAAAGCACAACATCAAGAGCAGTTTGAGGGTAGGAAGAAAACCGACATCAGACTGCAAACGTTGATAACATGTCACAAAAGAATCTTGGTACCGAGATGAAGGGTGAGAGTGGAGGAGCGAGAGGAGGGGAGGCAAGAGGTAGGTGATAAGCATGAAATTCAATATTGATGCATCAGCGAGCATGAAAGATGACGGGAAGAGGAGGAGGAGGAGGAGGAAGGAAGGTACGAAACGT